AAAATTAAATAAATTAAACCTAAATATAATTAAAAAACAAACACTATTTGCAGTGTTGTTATTGTAAACACTTAAACCTTTAAAAATAGTTTTCATGAATTAAACAGAGCTGAAATAAGTCAATATTAGATGAAAAACCTCAAATTAAAAAATTATGTTAAATGTTTTTATGCAAATAAGTGAAATAAAAAAGTGCAAGTTGAAGTACTAAAATTACTAAAACTGAAATAAAATAAATTAAAGCTCAAATAATATTAAAAAACAAACTGATACAAATAACAGAAGCACATATAATAATTACTAAACCTTAATCTAAAATTAATACCATGATGTTATATAAATAATACTAAAATAACACTTCCTACATAACAAAATTGCTAAACCTTAAGCTAAAATGAAAATAAAGAAGCTAAAAGCGAACTCAAAATATTAATAAATACTTTTATAGTGTATAAATAATACTAAAAATAACACCGTTAACATTAATAATCCAGGTAATAATAATATTCAGAACATGAAATTATATTAGTTAGTTACTAACTGTCAAAAAAGCTGTATTTCGCTATTAATACTGGTGAGATTAGCATGACGTTTTTGAGCGCAGTACCTGAATGGACTGGAAGGACTGAAGCCCCAGCGCAGGCACCTCCGCTGTCCCGCCTCCGGCCATAGGGGGCAGTGTGCTGTACACCTGCACCACTGAGTTACTGTGGCTGGAGGACACCTGTGACGAGAGGGGCGTGGCCTGTGTAGGGGGGAGGGGCTGATGATGGTGCTGGAGGTACGAGGATCCCGTGTGCATGCTCAGATTGCTCTGAAAAACACCGTGTCAAAGGTCACCATTTCATTTATCCAATCGAGTGTGCAACTGGTGAAGTGATAACTTAATGTAATCAATCAAACTTTAATTTGTGTAGTAATATTTTTTTATCCTGATTATTTGTATAGTTATTGTGAAAAAAAATGCATTTTTGGGTATGTTTTGTGACATTGCTCATTGTTATTAAGCAATAAGGCGTAATATATATATTTTAAATTACAACCATGTCATGTTAAAATTAATTATTTTCATAGTTATGTTTTTTTATCCCCCATTTCTTCTCGTTTGAGAAGCCGTTTCACTGGGATATACGTCACAATGCCGTCTTGAGCCCTCACCCAGTGTTTACCTGGACGGATCCCTGCATGGCTGCCATTGGCTGATCCAGAGAGCTGAACGCTGATATGGCCGACATCAGAACCTCGTCACTGACCAACACGTTTCCCTGGACCAGCGTGTGTGTGAGCGGAGACTGCGGCACGGTGATGTACGTCGACACCTTGAGGAATATACAAATCAATATTAGTACTCGATATCAGTCAGTCTCTCGTGGTGGTTCTTCAGCAGGTGAGCTGTACCTGTCTGTTAGAGGGTCCAGTGCTGATGGACGGGACGGAGGTGTATGCGTTGTTGGAGGCCAGAGAGACGGTGGCCAGAGACGGCGTGTTGGACTGACACTGTTCACGCTTGTGTGTCATGAACGCCGGTAAAGAGTTGAACTGCTTCTTACATTTCCCACACAGAAAGACGTCATCATCATCTGCAGGTGTCATGTGACAAACAAGAACAATCACAGAGTTTTCAGAAAAAAGAACGGACTGAAAACAATCAGAAATGCATAATTACTATGTACACTCTAAAAAATGCTGGGTTGTTTTAACGGACATACCCAAATGTTGGGTTAAAAATGTAAAAATTTAACCCAACGGCTGGGTTTGTCCATATTTGACCCAAAATTTTTTAGAGTGTACACACTACAAATCATTGTTGTTATTAACTAAAACTAAAATATTATTCATTGATTTAGGTATTTGTAATAAAGCTGAAATAAAATAAATATTAGACAACGAACTAACTGAAATAAATGAGTTGAAGTGCAAAAATTACGACTAATAAAAAGACAAATGAAAATGACAAAAGCAAATTATTACTAAAACTTCAACAAAAAATATATAAAATATTTTTAAAAATCATTATATATGTATTTACAAATTGTATCATTAGATTTATCAAGAACTAAAACTATTATTAATCATTTTAGGTAGTTAAAATAAAGCTGAAATAAAATATATTTAAATATTAGATGAAAACAAATGTTAACTTAAACAAGTACTAAAATTACTAAGACTAAAACTGAAATAAAAGTAAATGAAATCTTAATGGAAATGTAAAAAAATTAAAATGCAAAAACGCTAAAACTTAAATTAATATTTTAAACAATACTAAGAAATATTTAAATACTACTAAATGTTTAAATCAATACTATGTATATAAAAGTCATTGTACCATTAACTAAAACAAGAACTAATTGTTTTAATTAAATTAAATATGAAGCTGCAATAAAATACAAGTATTAGATAACTTAAAAAAACATGAAACCTAACTGGAACAAAATTGAAATAATAAAATGACTAAAATTAATATAAAAATGTATTTAAACCTTAAAATAAATAACCAAATTACTAAGACTAAAATTAAAATAAAAGCTAATATAAAATATTAATAAATACTATATTAGGAGGATATAAATACCACTGATAAATGCACACTTTGCCTTTAACAGACAGATTACATATACTACATTGTGATAAACTAGAATTTGTAGTCATATAAATGCATGAATGAGTCTCACCCATTGGCTGGATGGTCGTTCCTGAGACATTCTGTGAGCCCGGGTCCAAAACACCACCTTGACTGTCTAACAGTGACTGGACATTGAGCACCGTCTGATTGTCCATGCCTTAACCGATAAATCAATCCATCAATTATTCAACAAACCAACCACTTACTACCTGACAATGTGGCCCGTTCAACATCCATTACAGGACTATTACTTGAGTTATAGTATTAATAATCACTATAAATCTCTGCAATACTTGATTCTAATCGGTCAAATTGGTTAAAATGACGCTAAACTGTTTCTCAAGCACTTGTTTCCTACATATCTGTGCTAGTTAGTTGTCATTAAGTCCCTTTCTTTGCATATATTATGATTATTGAAACAAAATCAGTATTTCACACTCATTTATTTGTTTAATTAATTTTATATACAGAATGTAGTGCTGTCAAATCGATTAATCGCATTTAATTTAACTATATGTGTGTGTGTGTATATAATATATATGTATATATATATATATATACACACACATACAGTACTATATACACACACATTATATATTTACAAACTTTTATGTAAGGTGTGATTAATCAATTTGACAGCACTATATATATATAGGTATACAGTATAAACACTTTGTTGGTGTAATGCATTACTTAATGATTTATTACAGTAATTTAATTACTTTCCCCTTGAAAAAAGTAAAGTAAGGGATTATTCTTATCTTTCTGTTATTTAATTACAGTTACTTCTGATGTAATTGCATTGAATACTGTATAGACTACAACAATTCTATATATAAAACAATAGTGGGTTTAACATCAACATGTAACATCTAATGTTAAATGTGTGTTTTTAATGTAACATTCTCCCTTTAAACACTTTAGTTTAAGAGTAATTTTATACTATTTATTTGAAATCATTAAAAGAGCAGTTTCATGGCCATCCTCGAGATGTATATACACACACAACAATGATTTAAAAGAGTATCATAGAATCAATTGAGCATTTCCTTCCATCATACTACCCAGTCTACTATCAGTTTAGGAAAAGAGAACATCTGTAACATAAAAACAATCAAGTGTGGACACAAACATAACTACTAATACTAATACTTATATGAATTATTTCCGCTTTTATGAGAGAGTTCGTGTGTTTAGTGGCTTTTCCAGTGACGTGTCTCTCTCCCTCCGCCATGATCGGACGAGGCTGTTATTCTGATCGCTCTTCCTCCCTCCTCTACGTCAATCTCTCCTCACATACTTCAACTCAATACATCACATACACCGCGACACTGCGCTAGAATTAATATTATTATTTAAATATTAAAAAAATACTCTTCCTATTCAAACACAATGACATTTTCATGAAGCGAAACAACTGTGTAAAATGTGTTTCTTTGGGCTGTTCGTGTCGCGCGCGCATGCATTCTCAATCAAACATTAAATAATACATTATGTTTTGTGCATATGCGGGAAGATTTTAAATAAAGTGCATTAATACCTTCCAGAACCTCAAATATTGCCTGCGCCATCTTGTAGCTCCTCTGTGTATAACGCCAGCAGTGGGCGGAGTTTATCATTATTATTACAATAGTACAATCATCCACACTGAACTGAAAGTTTTAGATAGATAGATTTTAACTAACCCAAACCTTAACCCTAACAACCCTAATTAAATAGAAAGTATGTTGTTAATTACTATTACTATGTGCTTAATTGTATAACACTGTAACAAGGACACTAATAATAATGTGTAAACGCTGTTACCAAGATGTCGATATTTTTTAGGCATTCATTAATTTAGTAATTTACGGTGAATTAAAGCTTTAATCTTTAAATAAATGTTTTAATGAATGACAATGAAATGTGGAATATGTTAATATATATATTTAATTAGTCTAAAGAATATTTCTAATTTGTGCCAAAACATTATTTAAATTGTATTTAAAGATCTATAAAGATCACATAGCCTAATAAAATTCACAACAATTTTATAATTAGGAACCAAAAAAATCTTTATTACACGATTAGATAAAAAGATAAGCAAGATGGCTCTTTATTGCTTCATATAGCCCATTTATAATGACATTTCCAACCGATTGAAGTGACTTTCATAACGTCGTTGTTTATCTATCACCATTACTCATTCAAAAGAAAATAGATCAAATAAAATAAATCCAATGGCGTGCGTGAAAATGTAGTTTTCCATTCAAACAACTCTTATTTTTAAAACAAAAATAACTCGGAGAGGAAAAAGAAAAAAAAACAGGACGCCGTTGAGTGACAGCTGCCCCAGCCAACCAAAGCCTGGGAACTCTGACGTGAGGCGCGACGGACGCCACTTCTCAGCCAATCAGTGCGCCGCACACTGGCACGTGCCAGTTTCGCGGCAAAAAAGATTTGGCGCGTAAAGCTTTTAGCAGGTTCCGATCAGCTGGAACACAAAAAAACAACAACAACAAAAGTGATTCCGGTCGCGCCGCGCGCAGGGACAGTCGGACCGCACCTTCCCTCTCCGGACATGGATTTAAGCGTTTCAGGAGCGAACATCTGGGGATTATTCTCAAGTTATTGACAATACTTCCTGGATGGAGTCATTAAAAAGGACAAAAGCGAAGGATATTTTGGATTAAAGTGTCCGAGGAGTAAAGAAACCGGACTTTGTCTTTGTTCGGCATCTGGATCGGGTTATACTGATATTTTTACTTCATCTACAGCCATTTTAGCATATTAATTACCCCTTTCTAACACGTTTACCAATGCTCACGTGAGAACAAACTTTGTTTCTCTTGATAATATCGCAACAACATCATTAATTTGAGGATTATATTGAATGCGTCCATGTTTTATGCACTTTAAAAGTTGCGATTTGTTCGTGATGTTGTTTATTTATAGTGGAATATTTGTTATGCTTTTTGCTGCCATTTTCAAAAGCACTTCCTTAAACAAAGGATTGACAACTATAAACTCATCATGCATGTGAAAAACATCTGAAATGTTGATCAATAACATGCATGGTCTAATCCTTCACTTTTACTGAAGTAAAGTGGATATTTTCGTTTTGCACCCTGAGGTTGACCTACATTTCTGGCCTTGTGGTTCGGGAGTCTCACCCATATGTTCAGCCCAGGCCTGTTTTTATCATGCGTTTCAGTGTGCACTTGTGTGAAACCTGTCAGAACATGGTTTTTACATTTCCACTGAGCCCTGTGCTCTCTCTTGTGCATGCATTTTAAGAAAGCAACCTGTTCCCATGCGCTGAAGGCCATCGCCAGGATTGAGAATAAACCCGGAGCCCGAGTAACGTTAACCCCTGCTGTTTTAGCACGATATGTCTGAGAGTTTTATATCGGGTCAGACCTCGGAGGATCTGCTGGCTGATTTTGAGTCTCTCTTGAACAATGGCAGCATTGATCTTAGTGAAGATCACCAAATCGTCATCATCTCCACCCCGGGCACGGCCTCGACCAGCTCTGCCACGGGGGACTTCTTGCTGTTCGCCACCCCGCACCACAGCGCCACGACCGGCACGACCCTGGACCACAGGAGACCCGCTCTGGGCAGACCACCGGTGTGTGTGTGTGTGTGTGTGTGTGTGTGTGTTTGAACTTCCACCTCACATTCTGAGCATTCCAATCAATCAATCAATCATTTAATTCTATAGCACAACCAAAGTGCTTTGTAAAGACAAAAAGAAACACTAGAAGTGAAAAATCATTTACTAAACTAAGAAAAAAATTTGAAAAAAGGAAAAAAAAAAGAAATGAAAATGATGTCATTAATGACCGTAAGCCCGTAAGACACACGCCAGCCGCGTCTTACGTCAGCCGATCCACAACAGAACCGGAACACAATACAATGCTGAATAAAGTCGTAGTTTTTGTTATTTTTGGACTAAAATGTATTTTCGATGCTTTTAAACATTTTAACTAACCCACTGATGTCACATGACTACTTTGATGATGTCATTGGAGGGACAGAAAGCTCTCGGACTAAATCTAAAATATCTGAAACTGTCCTGAAGATGAACGGAGGTCTGACGGGCTTGGATCATTAATGACATCATTTTCATATTTGGGTGAACGAACCCTTTAAATTCCATTTTGGAATGTGTGTCTCAGTGTTACAGATCTGACCTCGTGACCTGCGTGAGAAGGAGTGGTTCATGATGACCTTCAGATATACGTTCAGCTCGGATTAGTAATGGTTTTCTGTTGTAATTAGAGTAGCATTACCATATTGAAGATGTTGTTCTCTGTGACTGTAGGTGAAGAGGAAGCTGGATCTGGACAGTGATCACCAGTACATCTGCACGTCTCGGTCGGCTTCTCATGGACCAGCTCCTCCAGCTACACCCGCTCCACCCAGAGGTACTGACGCCTGGCAATACACTAGCGTTCGGCCTCGTTTGAAGTCTCTATTTACACAGGAAATTATGAAATATTATTGCACTTTAAAATAGCCGATTTAGACACAGTCTTCAGTGTCACATGATCCTTCAGAAATCACTCTAATATGAGCATCTGATGATCAAGAATCATTATGGTTATTATCAGTGTTTTTCAGGATTCCTGTAAATAATAGTAAATAATGTATTTAGTGTCACTTTTGATTCATTGTTTTTTTTTTAATCAGAATTTTCTTGAACACTTGCTCAACAATGTGCATGTAACAACAAATATAATGTACAAAAACTCAAAAAAAAAACCCAACTAATATTATATGAAAATTGCAATAGCACAAACCATCATTGGATAATTCAGTATGTACTTTGGAAGTCAGAGTTAACCAAACATTGCAATCAATAATAGCCACAGAGATAAGCAATAAAATAGGGTTAAAGGAGTAGTTCACTTTAAAAAATAACTTTTGCTGATAATGATCTCGCCCCCATGTCATCCAAGATGTCCATGTCATTCTCTCTTCATTTGAAACGAAATTAAGGTTTTTGATGAAAACATTCCAGGATTTTCTCCATATAATGGACTTCAATGGGGTCCAAACGGTTCAAGGTCCAAAAGACAGTTTCAGTGCAGCTTCAAAGGGCTTTAAACGACACCAGACGATGAATAAGGGTCTTATCAAGCGAAACGAGCGGCCATTTAAAAAATAAATAACAAAGTTGAAGTTTTATAAGCTCAAATGCTCGCCTTGCTCTGTTCTGTGATGCGCGTCGTGTCTCTCCTGTTCGAACCCGTTCATCAAAACGAACTCATGTTTTTCGAGTCATTGACCGAAATGACCGCTCGTTTCGCTTGATAAGACCCTTATTCATCGTCTGGAATCGTTTAAAGCCCTTTGAACAGTTTGCACTGAAACTCTCCTTTGGACCTTGAACCGTTTGGACCCCATTGAAGTCCATTATATGGAGAAAATCCTGGAATGTTTTCATCAAAAACCTTAATTTCTTTTCGACTGAAGAAAGAAAGACATGGACATCTTGGATGACATGGGGGTGAGTAAATTATCAGCAAAAGTTTTTAGAAAAGTGAACTACTCCTTTAATCCTTTAACCACATGTTCAATAAATGACAAAAAGGGACTCCAGACCCTCTTAAATTACTCCAGTCTTCAGTGTCACATGATCCTTCAGAAATCACTCTAATATGAGGATCTGATGATCAAGAAACATTTCTGATTATTATCAATGTTGATTTTTAAGTGTCACTTTTGCGTTGTTGCTGAACAGAAGTATTGATTTCCCTCCTCCCGCCGGAGTGTAAATCTGTTTTTAACGTGTCTTTCAGTCCCTAAACTGGCCACGGAGAAGTCCCGCTACGACACGTCTCTGAACCTGACCACGAAGCGCTTCCTGGACCTCCTGGCTCAGTCTCCAGACGGGGTGGTGGACCTGAACTGGGCGTCTCAGGTGCTGGACGTCCAGAAGCGGCGCATCTACGACATCACCAACGTCCTGGAGGGCATTCACCTGATCTCCAAGAAGTCCAAGAACCACATCCAGTGGCTGTAGGTTCTGCACCGTGTGCTTATTCATCTGCATGCAGGCTTTGAAATGAATGGTGCTATGGAAAATATGATATTGTGAACTGGTATGTACCAGTGTGTTGGAGAAAAAGATGGAGATCCAGACCTGTTATTCAGCTAAAGCTAGTTTAGATTGCGTAAGTCATCTGTTACAGCAATCAAAACTCAAACATAAATAATATGCTGTACATTTTCAAGGTCATGAATAGTACATATTTTTACCATTCACGACTCATTTTGAAAAGGTCGAAGGTTATCTCATCTTGGCAACTCGTGCATCAAAATATTCTACGAGTTCCCCAGTGGATTTCCCAGTGGATTTGAAATAGAAATTTTATAATATATATATATATATGATAAAGTTAATCTGGCTCATTTCTTATTTATTTATTTATTTTTTGGCTAGTAGAAATTCTGAAGGGCCAGTAACTTAAAAATATAGAAGCAAAGTAGATTTGAAGCGTGTGTGTGTGTGTGTTTGCTGTGTCCTCAGGGGGAATCGCATCGACGGGGCGTCCGTGGCCAGGTTTCAGGAGCTCCAGAGGGAAGTGTCCGAGCTCACGGAGGCCGAGGAGAAACTCGACGAGCTCATTAACAAATGCAGCCTACAGCTACGGCTCCTCACAGAGGACACACACAACAAGAAATATCCTTCATCTCAAGGGCCAATCAATGCAGCAGAAAAAAAAACAGTTTCAGCTCGATTTTCATTATTTACACACACACACACACTGCTTACTACACACACACACACTGATTATTACACACACGGAGTACACAAACTTTGCAAAAATTTTAAAAATAAGAAGGATTTGAATGTAAAAGATTAATATTGTGTACATAAACATATGGTGGAATCCAGGTTGTCCCGTCTGCCTGTGCTTTGACCTCTCTCTCACACACACACACACACACACACACACACCATGAGCTCAGATGGTTAAACCAAGGCCCAGTGTGTCCGTGTGATAGTTCAGAGCATGATCCTCTGGACGTGTCTTTATTGTAGTCTTCTTCATGGGTCTGGGTGTAGATTTGAGCAGTTTTGGAGCTGAGGTCAGGTCTGGGTTCAGGAAGTGAGGATCTGATCAGCTCGAGTAGACGCACACGTTCAGGTTGTGGATATTGTGATCTTTAACCTGAAGTCAAGCTTGGGTACGTGAGGTGCCAGGACCTGCGGGACACGGTGGACCCTCCGGAGCAGATCATCATGGTGATCCGAGCTCCACCAGAGACGCAGATGCAGGTGTCTGAACCCAGTGAGGTCAGCAAACACACACACACACACACACTTGCTTTATTTATGTAGTTGAGCTGTTACGCCCCGTCTAGGGGAAAGGGTGAAAGGGTGCGACATGAAAGACTCTGAAAAATGCAGACAATTTGGGACTTTTGCTCCAGAAGCTGACTCGGCCAAAAACACCAAACTGAACTTCCTTATTTTCAAACCTCTTTATTAAACACTAAACCGGAAAGAAAAGAAAAGGAAATGCAATATTCAAATCAAAACAGTTCACAATAAACAAAACTGCCATCAGACTCCCCACTTTCCCAAATACACAGACACTGTATTTACAATATATTTACAACTAGGCAAACTTGAAAAGTGCTTTCCAAATTACTCTCGCACTCACACACTCAGTCCAAGACATTTTACCATATATATATATACACAAGAAACCAAGACATTTTACCATAAATATGGTAAAATGTCTTGGTTTCTTGTGTGTTTAATTGTGTGTACTCTGTATTTCAGGGTTACCAGATCTCTCTGAAGAGCTCCAAAGGTCCGATCGACGTGTTTCTGTGTCCTGAGGACAGTTCTGGGGTCTGTAGTCCCGTCACTGATTGTAGTCCAGCGAAATCGTCCTGTCAGACCCCCCCGCGGTCTGATCTCGCATCACAGGAAGTGACATCATCAACGCCGACTACCCTCCCTAGCTCCTCCCCCCTGCCTCTCGGCACAGACTCGGGTATGTGTGATCCTTTTAACATGAGTGCATCTTAATTTACTACAATGGTTGGCTGTTTGTCACTTTAGCACAACAAATACCAATATTGCCTGATTTATTGAGTTTTAGTGTTATATTTTCCAAATGTATAATTTCTAAACATTTTATAACTCTTATAAATCTAAATTAAGTCCAAATATAAATATTAAAGGTATTTTTAAATTACAAATAAATATTTTAAGTATTAAAAGTAAATCTTAAGCATAAGTGATAAATCTAAATATGCAATGTGTGACTTAAATTATTGTGAAATTATTTTCAAAATGTACATATTAAAGGTATTTTTAAATATTGAACATAAATGTGATGCTAAATGTAAATCTTTAGGCATAAATGTTAAATTCAAATAACATTTAGATTTTACATGTAGATTTGAAATTATTATAAATGCAGATTTCAGATTTACATATTCAAATTTACGTATCAATTTACATTTTTGTAAATATGTATAATATTACAAATATTTATATAATTATTTACATAATTTACTAATTTTACATATTAAATATAAATGTTATGATTTAAATGGGCATAAATGTTAACTTCAAATATACAATTTGTAATTTTATATTTAACATTTATTTTACACACACGTCACACACACACACACACATAAATATAAATATCTTAAATATAAATGTGATGTTTTTAAAAGCAAATCCATAAATGTTGAATTTATATATAAAATTTGTGAATATATAAAAATTTGTGAAAATATATTAACATTTATTTTACACACACGCACACACACACACACACACACACACATATTAAATATAAATGTGATGATTTTAAAAGCAAATCCTGGGCTTAAATGTTGAATTCAAATATAAAATTTGTGATTTTATATTTTACATTTATTTTACACACACACATATATATATATATACAGTATATACATTAGTGCTGTGCAATGATTAATCCCATCCAAAATAAAAGTTTGTGTTTACATAATATATGTGTGTATACTGCGTTTAATTATTTTGTATATATAAATACACACACATGCATGTATATATTTATGAAAAATGTGTTATTTATATATAAAATATTAATATTTATATATAATATAAATGATGTATTAATATACATACAATATATAGATGTATATATTTCTTAAATATATACAAAAAATAATCGTGATATATATATTATTCTATTTGAATTGTATAGAAATAAAAGGCTTTTGAAAGCTGTGCTGTTTCATATAAAAAGTGCCATTCTAAAACAATTAATAATCTCTTATTGTTTACATTTTACTTTGTAATAAATGATCCAAAACTAATTTTCTTCCCGAAATGATTGTAATTTCCCATTTTCTTGAATCTGATGATTTCAGAGTCGTTCCTGGACTCGTTTCCTGGCATTTGCGGGATGCCCGATTTCGACCTGTCTCCTTTGGGCTCGTCTGAGTTCCTGCTGGAGCGGGGCGGCTCCTCGGACGGCGCGGGCCTGGCACTCGACGGCTTCATCTGTCTCTCTCCTCCTCACAGTCAGGACTATCACTTCGGCCTGGAGGACCACGAGGGCGTCAGCGAGCTGTTCGACTGCGACTTCAGCGACCTCGGCCCTCTCGAGTTCTGACGGCCCGATCCAGAGTCAAACCGCTCTCGCATCGCTTCGCTTTTGAATCCAGATTTGCTCGAATGCTGCCAATTAATTTATTAATAGAAACGAGTCACCTTTTGGATTCCTGTTTATTGTAATTGATTGTACATGTAACGTCGTCGGGAAGGTTTTAGGACGAGTGTGAATATAAACTGACAGGTTTTATGGATTATTTCTCAGGTGAGTGATTACGTGCTAGTTACCGTATGTGTTTAGGGTCGGGTTATGTTGCATATGTTGGTTATGCAATGCTGCACGATAATCAATCCGCCGTCGCTCGCGCGGTGACCGAGAGGATTTACAGAAAATGAACTTTTCGATATTTTTTTTTTCTAATCACAATTCTATTCACGAGTTCTGTACAAATGTTCATCATGTCACAGATTCTCTCGCGTTCATGAGTTTTGCATTGTGTGTGCAGGCTTGTGGGATTTTTATCGCTGTTACAGGAGACGTTCTGTATTTATTTGCGTTCAAATCTGATCCTGGTACAGTAAATGTCCCCAGAGATATATATATATATATATATATATGTATATGTATTTATTAGTGCTGTGCAACGATTAATCACGTCTAAAATAAAATATAATATATATGTGTGTGTACTGTGTATAATTATTTTGCATATATAAACACACACATATGCATTGTTTATATATAAATAATTTATCAATATCAATTTATTTCTTAAATATATACATGCATGCGTGTGTATTTATATATGCAAAATAATTATACACGGTACACATATATTATGTAAACATAAACTTTTATTTTTTTTATATGTGATTAATCGTTGCACAGCACTAATATCTAAATATATATATATATGCATAATATACCCCTAAGAATACACTTGTCTTATTTTTTTAATTTTTTCCTGTGCATGTGTGTACAAATTTGTATCCTTTCCAGCCTTATCTTAAATATTAATCTTTATATTTAAAAAAAAAAAAAAGCACTATGTTTTTGTTTTTATTCCTACTAGGATTCCCTGTTGTCCAAGTGTAGAAATATCTCTTTTCTTACTGGAGTTGTACTTTTCTCCAGCGTTTGGGTGTTTTAGAGTCGTTATTCCACTTTAATTGTGCCTTAGCTACAGAATGTCAGATGAAGTATATATTTCATTTGAAAGGATTATAATGATATAATGTCATTTTAGTGAAATATATAAATGCATTTTGATAGAGTAGATTTGATTATAAGGGGCTCTGAAGTTCACGAGGACAATGTTTGATAAGCTCTTCGTCTTGTAAAATGTATAATTTAATGCAAATTGAGCTTTTGCATGTAGATTTTCTGGGATTTGCTTTATTCAGTTTTCTGAAGGCAGCTTTTGTCTTTTGTTTGTATGTGTGTTTTGTCTATTTGGTCTGTGTAAATCATATATGTGCATGTGTATGAGTTCTAGTTTTGTGTGATTCGATGATTGTTTTATGATGCGAGGTCGAGTTGTCTGGGACAATTCGTAAGACCGGATCAAGTACGGATTCGGTGTGTGTGATTCATGTTTATGTGTTTGTACAATAGCAATATTTTTGTAATAGGGCTTTTTTGTGTAATTGGTTTTTCCCGTTTACTTTATATAAACCACTTAAAAAGTGGCCAGCAGCGCAAATGAACGTGTGTAGACTTTTAAAATTAAGTACAAATAAAATCCGATTTTGATCTAAAGTCCATTTAAATTGACTCGGGAATTATGTGTTTTAAATTCCAGTTGCAGTGTTTTTAGTTATAATTAGGTTTGAAGTTTAAGATGTGTGTTTGTTGAGTACTGATTCATAGTTTCAGCAGCAGAAGGGATGATTATGTTTGTGATGTCAATATTATAGATTATCTTTGGATTGTCTTTGTTCTGACAACATGAATAAAAACTTTTGACCTAAAATCACTCATGATCTTGCATGATCCTTTCTTAACATCTGTTGAGATGCTGTAACTGCTCTGAATGGTCTTCTATAAGATCATTTTAATGGTTTAAATCAAACTTAACTTGTGTTTGCTTGAGAATAAACCTACTTGACATTTATTTTAGGTTTAAAAGACAACTGAAGATGTTTATTCTGAGAGATACTGAACATTTCCATCAAAATCGATGATGTAACTGCTTTAATTGTGTCCAGCCTTAACTTGTCATAATTGTATCTTTACTAGTAAGAATTACAATTAGAGAGCTCTCTAATCCAATTAGTAACAATTACAATTAGAGAGAGAGCTCTGTAATTCAATTATACTAGTAAAAACACGAATTAAAGATATGTAATATAATTGCAGGGGTCTCTAATTGAATTAAACAGCTCTGCAATTGAGTTGTTACTAGTAAGAATGCAATTTAAGAGCTCTCTAATTGTAATTGCTCCTAGTACAAATTGAATTTTAAAGTTCTCTAATTGAATTCTCGTAAAAATGAAATTACGACGAGTAAGGCTGGGTACAATTTAAACTAAAATAGCTTGCCATACATGTCCTTCTAAACAGTCATGTTTTTTTTTTAACTTAACATTGTTATAATGTTTTGTCATCTTTGGCTATTTCTGGAATAACACATCATACTCATACTTTTCTAGCATACAGTAAATGCTACTAAGCTAACAGGCTAATAAGGTAACTGTATGCTATGCTAGTACATAAGTTAACCAAATACAGATATATGGTCATTATAACATAGTTAAACAGCACCATAACATTTTGTAGGAATTGTAATCAGTTAAAAATAATCTGTATTCTATTAAAAGTAATTTTGGGGTCCTAATGGAGACCCGATATCGAGGAGGACTGATTTGTTGTTTTTCAATGTAAGCGCTAGACGGACGGGTCTTCTCTCGCAACGTATAGTAGGCTACAAGTTAATGTAGTTCAGCCTTTAAAAAAACGTCCTGAGAACTTGACTTACACATTTTTAATCTCCACTGACCTGCGTCTCGTGTTTTAAACAGGAAAAAATTCGTTCGGTGTGAACCGACCATAATAAATTACTAGGCCTACTGTCAAAATGTAAGACAATTTAACACAGAATTGCTTTTAAAAATACAAAATAACTATTTATAGTGAATATGTTGCATAGGTTTATTGCTGAATACAGTTACACACTGCTTTATACAAAATAATAAGCGTTATACTGTGTCAACAGCCTTTGAAATTGGTATTATGTACAGTAGCTGAAACGGTAAACATATTAATGACCAGCAGATGGCGCTCATCAACACTCATCTGGCACGAGTTTAAACTTACCCTTACCACTAATAATAATCAAATGGAAGCATAAAGTTGTTTATATATATATATATATATATATATATATATATATATATATATAGCCTATATCACAGTCCAATACAACCAGAGTCAGGTTGATTTAATCAGCGAATGATTAACCTGCAGGTGCAAATAATTACCCTCATTAAAACGGATCTGGACCATTAATAAACCTCACAATGCTAATTTCTCTGTGCCGAGTAATGGCTAATTAGAATTTTCCTCTGGGTTTTAATTTGCGGTTATGAGGACTCAGGGAATCCCAGGACGGGCCGGTGCTGTTTTCACCTCTACAGAAGCTGCTGACGGAGGAAAATAACATGAACATCAGTGAACATAAACTCAGTCTGCGCTCACGTTTGCTGATAAATCTGTGAAACATCTGACCTCTGACCTAGAGTCACTACACACCTTCATCCTGCAGAGGTGAGACTGAAACTCTCTCTCTCTCTCTCTCTCTCTCTCTCTCTCTCTCTCTCTCTCTCTCTCTCTCTCTCTCTCTCACTCGCTCGAGTGTGTAAGGCAGAGGAAGGTTACAAACATGCTGTGTGCTGGTGTAAACATTCACAAGCTTCTCCATCATCACCATGGCATCATGCTCATCATTCAGACATGAGTTTTCACTCAGTGACGTAAGTTCACGATCTCACCGCTTGGTGGCGCTATTGAGTCACTGCTGTTTTTGCCCCATATAAAACATCTCAATGTCATTCAGTCTCAGGTCAAAGTTGAGCACACACACACCTTTACTCTACATTAAACACCACAATTTCCATTTCACGACTCATTTACAATCAAATGCATCCTAAACGACCCTCGTATCATTCAGCAAGAGCGCATAAATCACCCGGGCCTTACAGTAGCCTACACCGGCTCAAGGTACAACCTAAAATAATGACATTTATAACGTATGTTTCATACTTTTGGTTCACAGACAGGCTGCACAAATCATTTATACTCTCCCGCTCACACACAGAGCAGTATATCAGAGAAAAATGCTAGTGTGTGTGTGTGTGTGTGTGTAAAACAACCGAGCATATTTTTAGTGTATAGTCTAAAAAAAATGCTGGGTTGTTTTAACCCATCTTTGGGTCAAAGTCCATATTTGACCCAAAGATGGGTTAAAACAACCCAGCATTTATTTATTTATTTTGGAGTGTCAATGCAAATATGAATAATCTCCCTGCAAACATAAAATTAAATTGATCTGCATTTGGACGTGGTCTCTCTCGCGTGGATGCATGTGAAGTTTAAAAACTTTAAATCACAATTTATTCCTTTCAAAAAGTACAGTTTTGATGCATGCATAATGAAATGACATTTAGCACATCATGTTAATGGCCTTGCTCGTCCTGATGGTGCTGTGGGTGAATCAGGCTCAGATGATCATAAGCTAACGATGATCTGACGGCTGTGGTGTGTGTGTGTGTATCGACAGTGTTTCAGATGTTCAGTGGTGTGTGGAGGACGGGGTCGTGCTGATCATCACTTCCACGCTCGCTGATTTTCAGACAAATTAAATGTCAGGGGAAACGGGACTCGCTCGAGTACTTTGAAAAGCTGAGACCATCATAAATTATTAAGGCCTTCTTTTACTTTTCCCGAGCCTCTGAGATCCGTCACACCGAAGCTCAAGTCTCCCAACTTTATTCCAGAGTGAAGAATTACGGATCAGACAAAGTCCGTATCGGATCTCAGACACGGATAACCTCAGCAACCCGGTCACGTAGTGCCACTTTTTTCTTTCTTTGAATGATCTCTAATACCTTACTGTAGGGGGAAATTGCATTTGTCACTGTCACAGTGCGACAGGAATGAGAGGTGAGAAAACAGTCAAGAGGAAGACAAGAAAAAGGGGGAAAAAACCCCATAAAAGTACAATAAAATAATTAACAAAAATAAAATGATAAAAAAATGGAATATAATGACATAATAAATAACTAAATAAAATAATTAACAAAAATAAAATGAAAAGTAAACAATAAAATTAAAATATGATCAAATTGAATAAAAAATAAAATAAATAAATAACAATAATATAGAATAAAATCAATAATATTAAAATAGAATAGAATACAATGAAATAAATAAAAAATAAAATAACAAAATGAAAAAAAGTAAATAACAAAATAATTATCTTTTTTAAAAAAATAGAATAAATAAAATAACATAATAAATAACTAAATAAAATAATTTTAAAAATAAAATGAAAAGTAAACAACAAAATTAAAATACGATCAAACTGAATAAAAAATTAAATAAATAAATAACAATAAAATCAATAACATTAAAATAGAATAAAATGAAATAAAAAAATGACAATTGA